TAACTATTATATTTAAATGTCTAAAGATAGTGAGAAGGTATGAAAAATAAGCGAAAAAGCTCATACATGAAAGAATCGACATTTCTGKTCTCTTTTACCGACGAATCTGATCAAAAAGCATGACAGTGAACACAAAATAATCTATTCTTATAATGAGTTCTTCATCTAAAAAATGTGACATCACAAATGTAAAAATTATCATTTAATAAATTTATTTGTGACAATTTTGTACAATATTTTTCATCTCAACAAAAACTCTTCACAAATGAAGTTACCACGGAATTTCGGCGCCTTTTTTCTTGAACAGCCGATAAACAGTCCTCTAAAATGTTGTTGTTTTATGGTCATATAAATTAGTCAACCCATAAAGAGTTCCATTCAATGTCCATTTGCATGTAAAAATTTGCAAGCTTAAGTTACTTGCTTCAGTCATGTTCAGTTTGCTCAAGTTTGCTCAAGTTGAAAATTTTCCGCTTTCGTACAATTTGAACCTTTGTTCCTCGTCTTCAACAGACATTGACTTCAAATTCTGGTTATCAGTTAAAGATCCAGAGTGTGATTTGAGTCGATTTGTGTTGCTTGTGCTGTCCAATGAATTTTGTTGGTCTTCGGCTGCTCAATGAAAAGTTCATAATTGTTGGTTGTTGTTTCTTCTCCAGATTTTCCCCTGTATTCCCAAGAGTAATTACACCTGTTTTCTATCACTTGCTTCCTAATCGGCTAAACTCAGAGACTTTTATTTCTTTGTTTACATCATACTTTGCTAGCGTTGGTCTCTTCAACAGAGATTCTTTGACATCATCAAACGCTTTCTGCTGTGGCTCTTGCCAACACCATGCGGTATTCTTTTGTAGTAGGTCTCTGAYAGGTTTAGACTTTTCAGCAAGGTGGGWTGTGAATTTGCTTAGCTGGTTGACCATACCCAAGAACGTCCTGACTTCACTGACATTGTTAGGGGTTGGAAGGTCGGCAATTGCTTTCACCTTTTCTGGATCCGCMTCTATACCTCTAGCACTTATCACGTGTCCAAGGAACTTGACTTCAGGTTTGCTGAATTCACACTTGCTCAGGTTTAGGGTCATTCCGRCATCTTTTACTCTTTCCAAGACAGTTTGAAGTCGAGTGTCATGTTCGCCTTGTRTTTTGCCATGAATCAGGAYATCATCAACACTGCATTCTACACCGTCMAATCCCTCGAGGATCATATTCATGTTCTTTWGGAATTTCTCAKAGCCAGAKCTTATTCCATATGGCAAGACATTGAACATKAACCTACCCCAGGGTGTGATGAAAGTTGTCAGGTGTCGAGATTCTTCAGATAGAGGGGTTTGCCAAAATTCCGAATTGGCATCCAGTTTGGAGAAAACTGAGGCGTCTGACAATTTAGCAAGTGTTGTGTCAATAGCTGGTAGGGCGTGATTTTCTCTTTTTACGTAACGGAAGTGCTGTTAGGTCCACAAGGGGTGCAAGGGGTGCAATCTCTTACAATATCATTAGAATAATGTAATTAATRCCTTCAACATTATTTTCCGTCTAATTTTTGCCCTGTTAGGTACTCTATTATGTGTTTAACTTTGTAAACYYTGTCGMCGTTATGTGGAAGGTTTGAATTTCATAAAAAGTAATTGTGTTATTATGTTTTACTCTATATCAAAGTATGAAAAACGACTTTGGTAAATATTGCCTTTCTCTAGTAATTTAGGCGTCAGACAATCGTTGACAAAATCCTAGGACCATTCCAGCGAATTTCCTCATTTTAAGCAACAACCGYAGACAATTTCATCCCCACTGACCCCCTAAATGCAATGCTGTCATTGATCATGTTACCATAGTACACAAGCATCCAAAACAAGACCCAACATTGATGAAAGGAGGAAAAGGTGGAAAACTGTGAAAAAATAAAGGAGAAAAATGTTAGGCTGAAGACAAATAATTGTACGGTCCAAGGTATTTTGGCAACGATTGTAGTAGCAAAGAGACAGCAAGAGAAAGAAACACTCGACCGCTATGTCGAGAAAGRAATCATGGCCAAAGTTGATGAACCAGCACCATGCTGCTCAAACACGTTTATAAGAGAGTGTCTAAATAAATTCAGAGTGTGCGTAGATCCGAGCCAAACGATAAACAAAGCTATRCTTCGAACAGTTCACCAAATAACTACACTCAACGGACAACTTCACAAACTGAGTTATGCRAAATGTTTCTCGTTAGTCGACGTCAAAGAGTTTCCTGCAAATACCACTTGACCATGTTGAGGAAGACTCTTCATACAAGTTAACGATGCAYACCTCGTACGGAAGGTGCACATGGTGCCGACTTCCCTTTGGAGTCTCAAGTGCTCCAGAGGACTTCGCGCGAAAACAAGAACCACTTCATGGAACATACCGTGTCCAGGTTACGCTAATATATATTTTTACCAGCGCCGCGATCGATTTGATAGATTTTGCGTAATATCTTTTCACATCTCATCATTTTTTTGAATATTATCATCATTGCAGCGAAAATTTAGCATTCAGATTGCATTCGCATTATCCTCAGAGAATTTATAAGATGAAAGTTTGCTTTTCATAAAATGATTTTAGAAAGAAAAAAAGAACGAGCATATTTTAAAGTTAAAAAAAGAAAGAAAAACAAATTGTTTAGAAGCTGCTCGAGTCGAGAATCGAACCCGAGATCGACAGTTCAACGACGCTGTTCAAGTATGATCTTGAGTGTAAAATATGTAAAACCAATATCTACAGGAAAAATAAGAATAAGTATACAGCTATTTCAAAAAACGTTGTCGGGGAGAACGGCGAACGGCGATTGTCGAAGAGAGATTGCACGGCCGAAAGGGACTATGGTTACACTGTTTTGATAAACAAAATTTCACTTATTAGATTTACCTTACATAGAAATGGAGACTAAATGGAGCCAATGTTTACCACAGACCATTTTAAAGTACAAATCAGTTGTAATTGCCTTTCAACTAGCAAAACCCATG